CGCATTGCTATTTTTACTTTCATTAGCATCGAAAGTCGAGATGTATTAAAAATAGGTTCATGTGCCGTAAGTCGTGGGGCCTGTAAGGCATCGATGTGAGTGACGAATGGCCCGTACTAGCGTTGGTCGTAACCAGGGTGAGCATGCGAAAGGTACGATGTCATCTAGACTGACAAGGTCTCTTCGAGGTATGTAACATAATTGTGGTAGAGTTATCGAAATGTACTTACAGGCTGTCTAGGCAAGACTAGTAATGGGCTTGATAAGCTATGCTTTCTGTTATGAGAATGTGGGCTAAAAGGTCGTGGAGCCAAATTGACTGACTCACTGTCGTCTTGTTCATGCGCCAAATGTAGCTTTTCAGGTCCGCATTTACCTGCTAGGCCTTGGGCTTGGCGTACAACAACGATAGGTTGTGGGCCTGCTGTGCCGTCGGGGTGAGGTGTTTCGGTCAATTTGGTTTTCAAGTCACGCCTCCGATCACATCTGGTTGGCTTGTGCTAATTTGTCAGGCCCAAGTGACAGGTCCAGCCCCTTTGGTTTCGTCTCCGGGACAGACAGGCGAAGTGAGGGCTTTCCGTGTCGAGTTTACGGCACTGAAAACAACAACGCGTCCTGTCGACTATTGGGTTCAGGCCTATAGATGCGCCCACGTGGCAAAAAGGCACATAACAAATTAGCCATAGGAGGCAGGTGTCGAGGTTGCTAGGGCAGTTTGAATAAGAGTCCTACTTTCACTAGGTCGAATGAAATAGGCAAAGGCTAATAATTAAGTTTTCCCGCAATCATTTGAGTAGGCTTGTTTCTCAAACGGTATTCTTTTTAGAGGTTGTTTGACCTAGTTTTCGCAACATGGTCATATTGGTAGGAAGACTTATTGGAACGCACCTGGTCGGGGTTTCATTGTCTGCATGATCATTTCCAAAGTGGAACATTCCCAAACGTTATGTTGGCATCGTCAGTGAGTATCGCCATCCTAAGCACCATACAGCTACTCATCAAAGAGACAAGTGAAGCCGAT